CTTTGTTGTGAAAGGTAGGAAATAGGGACAGCTCCCCGCTATGAGGTGATCTGCATCTCTAGCCAACTGATAAACAACATTATGTTGTTTAATTAATTAATGCTGATAAATAGCGTTAAGTTCAGTGCTCCTACATGCAGGGTTACATGTTTAGGAACAAAAAAACTCATAAGGCATAAGAACACTGTAAGATGGTTTTCACTGTCCTGGAAATTAATGGTAGTGAGGAGAAGTTGAGAATCATACTGAACGATCAACTGAATATTAACTTTGGTGGCAAACCTGTAGCTAGAATGGCTAATGCAATCTTAGGAAATACAAATAGGATTCGTGAGTAGGTCTAAACAGAATTCCAACAGTATTTTGGAATCAGTGCAACTGTTATGGCAAATCTTATTTCTGTTGCAATAGGCTGCTGTGCCCTCCTGGTCTCTCTAACTTACTTTGGATGAATTATTGTGGATGGCGCAGACCCAGTCGTAGGCTATAGTCATCATTAGCAAATGTGATCTGCCCTTGAAGAGTCTCCTATGCTAATCTTTTATGATATCACCATTCTTTTTCAGGAGTAGCTGCATTTGCTAAGTGCAACCTGGCCCTGTCAGTTTGCCAAAGGAAGGTTCTGTCCTGTGATATAGTGTTGCTCAAAAAAATGTCTCAGTGTTGCCTGACTTCTCAATTCTCTGCATGCTGAGCCTGCTTGCATACAGCACACTGGCTGGCTTCGGTCAGGGCTGTAGCTCAGATCTGATTTTGGTACCCTTCGGAAACCAGATGTTAGGTGTTAGCAGCCAGCAGCGCTTGGTTTGGTGATGAGCGGTGGCATTTTCACTCTGCAAGGCTGGAGGCTGAGCCAGGGGCTGCCCTGGTACTTCTGAGTCACAGCCTGCGCAAGGCTCCTGGCCTGTTAGACATGGAGGAGAAAATGCCAGCAAGAGACAGGGCTTCTGCTCACTTTTGTGTCTCCTCAGGGGCAGGGTTCCTGTAGGGGTCGGCCCTGTGCCCAGGATGTGAGTTAGCAGGGCAAGAATAGCGCTGCCTCGCTTGGCAGAAGCAGCTACCCTGTTAGGTGCAGCAGTATCTGCCTCCCCTCAGTCTTTGCTGCACCAGGCAACACTGCTCCTTACAAATGCAAGGGCTTTGCACATCGGCCTAAGCGTATGTGGCCGGGGTCAGGCTTTCAGGAGGATTCGGGCAGCTCTCTGGTGCTCATAGGCAGGGTGTTCTGAAGCCCCAGGCAATGCGCTCTGAGCAGAGAGGAGCTCGAGCAGCTCTGGCGCTGCTGGCAGCGCTGTGTCTGCTGCGAGCAGCAAGCAGCTGCAGCCCAAGCTTCCTTGTTTTCAGAGGGACTATTTGTTGGCTTGAGAAAGGAAAGATGTGATTGAAAAATTCCATTTTCTGAGCTTCCACTGTGGTATTTAGTTCCTTCTACTTCAATGAGTGTTAGTTAGTGGTGGTAATCGTTGTACAATGCATACGCAGCACAAACTGTCTAATACTGAAGAGAAAATGACAGCTATTTCTAGTTGCTTGTGCGTATCAACCAAGTGTGTGTGTCTGTGAATGTGTGGGTCTATGAAGATCCACACATCTGGATAGTCTTATATGCAGGCACCCTTTCTTGCAAAGAACTGTTCACTGACAGAACACAGGCTGCACAGAGGCTTCTCTGGCTGCTGAAGCATTTTGTGTTCCAGATACACTAGCTGTTGGGCAGGTGATGTTCTCTCCTATGAACAATCCTTCCTGATGGTGTTAGAGACCATAGCTATATTGGGTACCTATGCTGGTACACACTGTTAGAGAACACCTATAAATAACATAATTCAGTGTAAGTTTAGTGTGACCAAAGATCATAAAGAATTAGCTGGACCTAGTTAGTCTTTCACTCCTTTAATTTTAACTAGTTAAATCATATTTAAACTCAGCTGTCCCTGTTTATTCTAGGTTGTGGCATGTTTTACGGTTCTTGAAGTGCTTTTTACCTTCCCCAGATTGGAAAAGGACAGAGAACACTGCCTGAAAGGATACAGCACTTAATAGGAAAGGTAGGGCATGGGGAGTCATGGTCCTGAACACTCACAACATAAGAAAAAACTGATTTTTTTCATTAGCAATCCTAAGAATTGACAGAAAAACATACCCCACTGTGGGAGATTTGGCTTGTCTATAGTACTGACAATGGAATAGAGTATGAGAAGGTGGGGGAAAAATTAGTCCCAGAAGGAGAAATGCAAACCAGAGGAGAAAAAGAAAAGAAAAACATACAGGAATCCTGCTCCTTCCTGTTAATTAGTTTGATTTCATTCTACTCTTGGCACTGTTTCATGTCAACTACTAGTTTATAAATGTGTCTCCATACCTCTGAATACATTCAAATAGAGCATGCTCCTGGATGAGATCTTGCTGAAAAGGTAACCTCAAGAAAACAGGGAAGAGAGCAAGAAAATCAGAGATCGTGGTTAATATTAGGAAAAAAGTTGACCGGTAAGTGAGAAAGTAGGTTGTTGAAGAAGCAGCGTGATTTATAATTTGGCATTTTCACTGGCCAACAGCAGGTATGTAATAACAAATCTAGAAAGCTCTTTGATGAGCCATTCGGTTCCTGTGCTAGGAATGAGGCAGGGCTAGGTCAGCTGATATCTCATTCTGACAGATAAATTGTGTTACAAGAAGGACATTGAGCAGGAGTTACTGTGGCATTAATAAGAATAACAATTGAGTAAAACCATACTGATGTCTGTTTGTAAGAGAAGTGAGAGTGCACAAAAGATAACTGACAGCACATCTAGTATTACTGGTTCAGCTGGAATAAAGGAAGCACTTTCAAAAAAGAAATGCAGAAACTGGCTTTGCTCCACGGTGGAACCTGCTCGGTCTTGTAGATGTCAGCTGCCTGAAGTGGATGGGTAGAGACTGCACATGTTTCATCAGATCCTGCATCTGTACTGCCTTTGAGGAGAGTTGGATTGTGTTCTGGCAGGTCAGGATGGGATGACACACTGTCTTAGCGTGGAAACAACATGATGGCACAATCCTCAGGCTGCATGAAACTCAGAGCAAAGAGACAGTTTCTGAGCTGGGATGTTCATGTAAGAGAATTCTCCCTCTCCTGGAATACTGGTGTGATGGTGGTTCCCTGTGACAGCTGTTAGCGATTCCCTTTGCATATTTTTATGCTGAAAACATTTTTAGACATAACTAGTTTTGCCAAGGAATTGTTCATAGGTGCTTGAGTACCTTGGCTCTGACAGCCATGTGAGCACTAGCACATAATTCATGATTCCTGGTTCTGATCCTCCAGAGTAGTGAAATTAGTATAAAGAAATTAATGTGGCTAGGATTTAATTATAGCTGAATCTCATTATATAGAACCTGATTCTCTACATCTGTTCACAAGCATAGATCTAGCACACTCTCCAAATCTGATGTGTAACCTTGACAGAGTTACTCAAAGTTTATTTGAATGTGAATGATGCAGAGAATCAGGCCTGCTCTTGGTGAGCAGCTCTGAGCACTGTTGACCATCTGACTATGCAATATAATTTCTCTTCTTGGTAGTATTTCCTGGAATATTCCAAAGTTGGGCTGGAGAAAGGGCTGGCTAAACAGCTTATCTCATTTGTACCAAAGGAGACAGTCAGAAGAACATTATTCTTGTAATGTTCAGAATTGACTGGAAAACAAAAAGTAATTTTTAGGCTCCTGGGGGCAGTTTTCTAAAATAGCTTTCCTTCTGATTATCTTTCTAAAGTCACACAGTCTTTATACCTCTACTGTGGTATTTATAAGGAAGATTGAGCATCATTGTCTGTTGCTTTGATAGATGTAGAGTTATACTATCTGTAAAGAACCTGGATCTATCTCTGCACAGGAGCCCTTGGAAAGCTGCTCTGTGATGGGACTGCGCTTGAGTTCTTACCCTCAGAGAAGGTAATTTCTACATGTTCTGTGAGCCTCTTTGAAAGGACCTATTTATTTTGAAAGAAAACTTTTGAACTTCAGCAAAAAATATCATTTGGAGAGTGGACTGTCTTTGTGCTCATATCCTTACATGGATCATGGTTCATCTTTGAAAATAACAATCATCCTTATTTCTTCAAGCATTCCCCAAATCTTGTTCCTAAGTAATTTTTTTTTGATAAATCTGGTGAGAGATTTAGCTTATTTTTCATTTCACTATGTGAAAAGAGCACCTTGCAATATAAGGGAGTAATTAGGAAAAAAAATCTCATCTTTCAGTCCCATTGTAAGGAATTTCTCTTATTGAATTTGGTGGCTTTTTTTGGACTCCAGTGAGCAACCTCAGGCATGCTGATATTTGTTATGTAGGGGCTGAGAAGGCAAAGAACACCAGAAAAGGAAGTGTTTGTAGTTGAGAACATGTAGCTGACAGCCGAGACACGATAGTCTGGTTATTCTGCAGTCAGCTGGGAGCTCTGAATTCCTTGCATTAACCAAGGGGGGCATATGATTACCTTGCCCAAAGAGTACAAATGCCCAAAAGACTTCATGAGGTTTATTCTGCTTTTGCAGAATAGACAGAGTATTTCAAATATAGGCAGTGCTCGCTCAGTATGGGAAAACAGGGTCTTCTCTTGACTTCATCCCCTCTGTGGGATGTCAAAAGCAAATATAGGCCAGGTATCTTTGCTATTTCAGGCCTAGTTTACAACCTGTATCACTAGCAAGGAAAGATATCTGTTCTCCTCTCTCACCCTCAGAGCAAGGAGTGATTTTTTTTGTCCAAGTCTTGGGCTGATGCACAAAGTGGTAGAAGTTGGTTGTAGAAATGTCCATGTGATTCCCTAGGACACTGCATATGGGATGGCAGCTGCTTTGAAGGATGATATTAGCTTTTCTACCCTCTGGTAGATTTTGATACCATGACTTTAGCATCACATTTTAGAGATTTAAGTAGGACTGACACACATAGCTTACAAGCTGGAGCAAGTTACAAATGCTTGGCATTCTGGTGTGTGTAGCAGACGAGTAGTTACCTTCAAATATTGATTTTGGGAGGCCACCACACCTAAACTTGAACTGATGGCAAACCCAAACTGGTAAGCAAAAGTTTCATTAGTTTTCCCCATTTTTTCTCTTTCGTATAACAGCTGCTGTATTTTCCAGCTTGCTGTTTCCTCAGCAAAGTATTGCCAGCAGTAGCTGTTTTCAGGCTAATGGAAACTTTCTTCTGAATGAAGTTGTACTGCCATTGATGCGAAAATGGAAAACATTTGTGTTCTCCCTATACAAAGAAAGATCTTGCCATAAATATAGAAGCAAAACACTGTTTGTGCCCCGATCTCAAATATGTCTTTGGAATAACTGTGAGCTGGAAAAATATTTGGCAATGTGAAGGAACACACATACTCTAAATGACTCATCATGAAATGGAAAAGGTTGTTCTCTTATTTTGCTTCTTGAGCAAAATATTCCCACAGGAGGTGGCCATTTGAAAAAGGAAATATGGCAACCAGGAAAAGCAGGCACTTAAGGAAGAAGCCAGACCGTAGCCTGAATTGTTGGCTTGGCCTTATCACATTCTAGCTAGAGAAATGGGATATGAATGGATTCACGCCCAAATTCCCCTGCAGTCATCAGCAGAAACTTTAGCACTGGCCATGGGGGCCATGTGTCCACCTCCATGTAGAGCTCTTAAAGTGCAGGGAACTCTTACCCCTGTATCCTGGCATAACTTTAGTTGTTTGATCCTGTTCTGTAAATGGGAAGTGGTCGGGCATTATGGATGCAATGACAGATGCCTGTAGTGTACTCTAAAGAGAGGCCTTATTTGTTTTTTTGGGATAGGGTTTCATGATGCTGCAAATCTCTCTTCATTCTCCCTTTTTTAGAAAACAGATCCACAGATAGAAGTAAGTGGCCATATTTGCTTGAAATGAGGATAGTAAATGGAGATGAAACATCAACTGGATGAATTGTCATCCTGGTTGTGGTTATATGTCACGAAAAGTAAGGAAACCATCATAAAGCTTTATTTAGCTTTACTTTTTCTTTACTTGTGTATTTAAATAGGCTGTGTAAATGCTAGAAATGGTTGTTTTCAGGAATAGCGGATGACGAGTCACCCCTCACTTGATGACCAGGAACCCAGCAGGTATTTTGAGCAATTTAGGAACTCAGCAGTAGCTCTTGTGTATTATTTTTCATAAGAAAATAAGCAAGAAGCCTCCCAAGTGCTTGCTGTGTCAATGATCCCTCCAGGGCCTTTCCTGCAGGTGTCAACTGCCTGGAACTTGCGTTGCTGTCCTTATTGCATGGATTTTATCGCAGGCCAAAGGTAAGTATAGTGCTATAAAGGAAACCGGGAAAAAAATTACCTCTTGTCCCATTATTTAATTTGTCCAGAGTTCTACACTGACCTTTTAGGCAATATTTGTGTAGTCCAAAGTGGAAAATGATATATGAATTTAAGATTTAGATGATTAACACAACTGAATTTTAGTTCATTAAGGCACAGTAATTCTATATTCAAATACTTTTGATCCTCTTTGCACTGCTCCATGCTCTTTTAGTTTTGGACTAATGTGATTAGCATCTATTAAGCACGAGACCTTTCTGTGCGGGGAGCGTTGCTCATCAGATCTGGGTTGTCTTTCCGTTGAAATCTGTCAGACGACAGGCGAAGTGCCATGATTATTGAATCAGCGCAGCTAGTGGCTAATAGGCAAGTGCTACTCATTAGAGCTTTTCCTTTCATATTCTCTGCTTGCTAACAAACAATTGGGAAACTTGTTTCTTGTAATCTATTTAGTAATCCATATGACCAGATGTACTTTAAGGTGTGCAGAAACAGACATTGAGAAGAACAATGTCAAATGAAACTTTTTGAAAAGGATAAGTGAAGAATCAGTGTGAAAAGCTGTAGATACCAAGGTCTATAACTACATCTTTATAGTGTTCGCGAGGCTGTTTGTCCACAGCCCTATACGGAAATGTGCAGTGGAGGGAAACTTGACTGTGTTTCTGTACTGTGAACTGTCTTTCTCGATAGCCCCTCTGAAGTTCCAAAGCCTGAAACAAATACAAAAACTCACGCCATGAGTCCTAAGTTATGAGCATGTTCTGCAAGTACCAGCATAGTCTGACTGAAATGTGAAGTTGATTTGTACTTGTACAGAAAGTGCTGAGTGGAAACTGCAGGGTAGGCCTGAGCTGTGGTTACTGCTGCTGAGTCCTGCTAGGCTGCACTGCTGTAAACTGTGCATACTGATATCCCATAGCCAAACAGGCTGTTATTACTGTCACCCTGCATCTGCACAGACTTCCCCCCTGCACCGCAGCCTCCTGCTTCTCTCTTGAACTCTTCTGGCTTCACAGACTTTAATGGCATGACCTATTACATCTTTTCTTTGCTGCTTGCAAATACTTATATTAGTGAAATCATACAGGCTCCTGCTGCTGTGTGTGCAGGTAAACTTCACTATCAGTTGTGTCGTTAGTTGTGATTTAGGCAAGTCCCAGGCTGAACCCTGAAGGTGATACAGATAGTGCCAGGCAATCACAGCTCTGCTCTTTGCTATCTGACTTCTGCTCTATATAGCCACACTCTGTGTACTTCTGCCGCAGCCCCACCAGCAATCCTGATGCTGTAAATGTTTCTGTTTGGGTGTGACAGCAGCCGATGAACCCCTTGGAAGCTACAAGGTGAAATCAGATCCTCCAGAGTGTCTTGCTAAAGTCTTTTCGTGGCTACAGACATTTCTGATTTGCTGCTGGAGGTTGGGTTGTGTCATATCTTCCCTCTGTGATTCCCTCTGAGTATGTCCTATGTGACCTGAACATACTATGGCTTGATTTGCTATGTCCTCCTTAGTGCTGGGGTTTATCCAAGGATCTGTTCACTGGAGGGGCCAGTCTGAGACAAGTCTTCACTGAGCTCACAGCTTGCCAGTGACTGTCGCTACCCAGGAGAGGTAGTAGCAGGTGATCTTTAAAAGGCTTTTTTTTTTTCTGATACCAAGTAGAAGAGGAACAGCACTATTGCACAACTGAAAAACTGTCAGGCCTTATATGCATCTAGACCCTAGATTTCTGAGAGGCATTTACGATGTCGCATCAGTGCAGATACCTGGAAAACTTCAGAAATCCTTTCTTGAGGAAAAAAGCTACTGGAATCAGTGGTAATTTGTTGGACTAAAGCTGCTAGAATTTGACTGCAATCTTCACTGTTCCTGAGGCTGAATTATTTCCTTTTTTTTTTTTTTTTTTGGAGTGGTATTTCTAAAACCATACTAAGTGAAAACCTTCAGTGTGTATCAACTGGCATCTGCTTAGTTTTTTTGTGCAGGAAGTTAGTGAAGTCTAACTTTGAGACAGGTATCTTGAGAATAAGCTATTTCTACCCTGATACTGATTAGGAGATTGTACAAATTTTTCTACAAATTTAAGATAGGGACTGGATTCCCTCAGCAATCATTGGAGTTGAGCAAATCCAGAGGATACATTGACCATACATAAAATGGATGAGTTGCCCTCTAAAAGTGCATGTCTGCCTCTGCTGATTACAGAGCCTCTCTCTGCTGTGCTTATTTTCCTTTTGGCAAAACATTGTTCTTGGTCCCTTGTAAAATTTCAGTTTAGGATATTTCCAATATGTGAGAAATGAAAGTCCACCGACTTTGTAAATGTATTAAATCCACATTTTAATATGAGCAGAGGCAGGTTTATTGCGTCGTCACATTACTGTACATTCTCAGTTCCCCTCCTATGAGCATTCGGTTGTGTCAGCTCTGTTGGGCTACTGAGTACTGTCAAATTGCAGGATATAAAAGTGCCATCTCAGAGCAGAGCCACCACCTGGACTGTTATCCCATCGCCACGGCTGCCCGGGTCCAGGCAGATAGGGAATAGCCACCCTTCCGCCTTCTCGTGGTACTCACAGTCAATTCCATTAGATAGAGTGATTTGAATTTGGAAACATTAAATATTTTTCCTACATCGCCAGTACCTGAACTATACTATTTGGAAATATCTACCTAATCCCTTTCTTAGTATTGAATCCTAGGCTTCGAAAGTCTCCTATGACAGCAAGATATGCAGTTTGATTGCACATGGAGTATAGAAGTGTTGTGTTGTACAAGCTTGGTTTTCCACTTTTTACTGTTACGCATGCCTCCTTGCTTTTGAACAGACACATAGATTAGGAGTTTCTCATGTCCCTTATTTTCCATCTGCTCTTTTCTGTGTTGTTTCTAAGACAGAGTGATCCTAGTAGTCTCTGTTTTCTAGGGGAAGATGTCTTTTCTTCTGGGGAGGGATGTCTTTTTTAGTCTTCCCCCATACTCTTCTGGTTCTCCAAAATCCTTTCCATAGATGCAGCAAATAGAATGCATATAATATTCCAGACAAATTGAGGCCAATGATTTCTTGTTCTGATATCATCTTTGCATTTATCACTATAGTTGTGCACATACTCTGTTACTATCTGTCTAAAATAATGCTTATATCCTTTTATTGAGTAAATACTGCCAGGTAAACATGCCTACTAATTCAGCTAATTTGGAGTTCATCAAGTGTAGTAGTAATTCTTCCTTTTCCTCCCAATGACGTTTGAGTGTATCAACTTTGATCTTCCTTTCTTATTATTCTATCCATTCAGCTAATGTGATGAGATCCATTCATGTAATCATTTCATTTTTTATTTTGCTGTGTATAGTGTATGTTTATTGATAATTGAACTGAGATCCTGCATTTGAAGGTAGATATAATAATCCATACTAGTCTATGTAGGAACACTTCTAAGTAAATGTTAACTAAGCATATCAGGAAAAATAGGCAATATATAATGCTATATTTATTATTTAAATAAAGTAATGAACACTAACAGCTGTAGTTAAATGAATGAGAGAAAAGCGTGGGAAGAACTGGGTACTTTTAAAATCAATTTCTAATTCATTTGTTTGTTTCTGTGTAGCTGGTAAATGTCTATACCAAAACAAATCTGAAAATGTAGATGTCCAGGATTATAATATACCACAACATAGCACATACAGCTATAGTTA